ATACAAGTGCTTTTTCAAATTTCAAGTAGAAAAGTGTGAAATTAAGTTTTTTATTTATTTATTGAAGAACAGCTTTTTGCATTTAATGCTTTGTTTTATACGGGAATGGAAAAAAAAAGGGGAGTGAGGCTATAATCAACAGCAACTCAGTTTTATAAACATTACAAAAGATTAATTAAATGTGGAAAATTTGCCTATTAAGAATAATTACAATTATTTTTTCAAATATATATCCATACGTCTATAGATATTAAGAGTTTTAAAATAAAAGTCTGCAAAGGTATTCTTGTAACTATTATAAATTTAACCTTGAAAAAGGAATTTTTCATTTCTTTAGGTTTCTTTTCTTTAACAATAAGGTATATGCATATTAAGTTTATCAATGAAAAACAATACTTGAAACATTTGAAGTGTGTGCTTACTCAGTTTGTCGGTAATACACTAATACATGAAGCATGTAGAGAGAAAGCGAATATGATTCGTCTCGTGACGTCCGCGAGTTGATTGCGCACGCTTCGTTCCAAACACGCGAGGCATTTAAAAACGCTTTATAAAACTTTGTGACTGTAGATATTAGAATGTTACGCTGAGTTAATTTCAGTAGATTATAGAGAAAAGGCGTTTTTCAAAAACTGAAACAAAATTAATCTTAGGGCATAACTAAGGGGCTAACACGTTTCTTTCAACGATGTCAGTAGAAGCACACACACACACACACCGAAACATTGATTATATTAACTCTTGATTCTTTTGTCTGTTACTGTTAGTCACCTCAATAAACATTACATACCTTCAACATAATCACCGTTATTAAGAGGAAGATGTCCAGGACTTCCTGCTAAATAACTCTGAACACACACGCAGGTAGCACCAGGGTGTATATTCCTCTCAGATACTTCTGTTTCATTTGTAGCACCATCTGTCCTCAAAAATAGCAATTAACTGAATTATTAATACAGTTAAATCAATCGGGTTAAAATAATGATAACAAATAAATAAAAAGTAAGTAAAAAGAAAAAAAAATCTGATAAACAAAAGACAGACTATGTTCGCCTGAGCAATATTTTAGATATACATGTTGGTAAAACTGCTTCTGAAAAATCTCATTTCTATTTTATCAATATATAATGTACTCTTTAATTTATTGGCCCAATTATCTGGTTGACCATAACATCTCATTCACTTATTAGTGGAAGTTCTTCACCAACGATAAACTATTACTAATGATACCTAGAAACGGTAAAAAATAACGAGATCGTACGAAGTAGAACATTCACTTGATATTTTTTACTAGTTTAATACAAAGTACCCTGTGATGTTGAAGGGTTTAACTGTTTAATTTATTATATAAATTTTACCGAACTTCAAATTGCCATTTTTATGAAAGCTTGAAATTATTGATTAAAATGTCTTAAATTTTTTTACATTTAATTATATTGTATCTACTGATATTTATATATTATGAACTAGTAAGAGCTGCTTACTTAGGGTGACAAATAATATTTAAAAAGTGCAAGACCTTGATTGTCTCCTGTACATCTAACACTATATAAAGAATCGTTGGCTGAAGAACAGTTTGAAAGTGCTTTGATCGAATAAAGATTTCTTATAATACCGGATAAAAAGTACTGAAACTAAACTCATAAAATTTCAAAATAGCATTTTTTAGAATGCTTCTTTTCAGAACAAACGCTTCGGAAAAAAGGTAATACCTATAATAAACCTGATTTGAATGCTATGAAATATAAACGAAATCAGTTGAAGCATTCCTATTTTATATATTTATTGTTACCAGGAAACTTTTAAACAAAATTTCCCATAAAGATACTATTTTTGAAAAAAAAATAATAACATTTTTTCTGTAAAATTTTTTCATCTAGATATATATATATATATTTCACTAAAATTTTTAATAGTACAACGTTTTGTAGACTATTTATCAGTGAAAACAAATCAACTTTATGGTAAGAAAAAAATAATTTATCCTGATTATGAAATGCTTTTATTTTTACGGAGTAATTAGGATTAAACAACTGCTATAAGAGTGACAGTCAGATACCACTATTCAATATGACAAGAGAAGCCCAAGAGTTGTTGGTGAATACTGTTGACTTTCATACTTCCCTCTAGTCTATCAGTTCAAAAGCCCCCCCAGTGGCACAGCGGTATGTCTTCGGACTTAAAACGCTAGAAACCGGGTTTCGATATCCGTGGTGGGCAGAGCACAGATAGCCCACTGTGTAGCTTTGTGCTTAACTTCAAAACACACACACACACACATACATCAGTTCAAAATTAAATTAAGAATGGCTATGAACAAATAACCCTCATGTAATCTCCCGGTGAGTCAGCTTATAGCTTACGGAATTACAACATTAAAATTCGGGGCTCGATTCCCGCGGTGGAAAGAGTCCAGATAACCCATTGTGTAGCTATGCACTAAGAATACGAACAAATAAACCCTTATGCAACTTAGTGCAAAGATTCTACAACAAATAAGCAAAATTAAACATCTTGTAAGTTTGGAATTTATCATCCTCGATTAAATTTGTTTGTTCTGTTATCGTGCGCAAAGCTACACCATGGGATATCTGCGATGTGCCAACTATGGGTATCGACTGTCAGCGTTATAAATCCTAAAGCTTACCACTGAGCCATTAGTAGACGCACGATTTAATAGTTTTCCTAATGATATTGATATCAATAAGTTCTCTATGACACGATTCAGTCAGGTGGAATCGTGAAAAATCTTCATTCTTGTACTTAGGTCATACATTAGTAGATTTATGACTTAACGACTTAACTGAAGCCTCATAAAACCAAGTTTTAAAACGTACTCTTGTTGCATTTTCAGTTTAAAAGTTGAAGCTTAAGCCTATTATTTTAGGAAATTTGTCAATATGTTTAGAAGCTCAAAAACTGCTTGTCGTACTAAATGAAACTTGCTATTTCATCTTTGTTCTTTTGAGCGCTTTAAAGTAGGTTATAATCGAGAAAGATATGTGCGTTTTCTTATAGCCAAGCCACATCGGGCTCTCTGTTGTGTCCATCGAGGGGAATCGAACCCCTGATTTTAGCATTGTAAATCAGGAAGACTTACCGCTGCCCCACCGGGAGACATAATCGAGAAACACGGGAGTCGAACACCTGAAATAAAATATACACATATTGCTTTTTAATACTATTTTACGTGAAGAAAATATTCAGATCAAGTGCCACAAAAAGTCACAACTGTATACTGTTCGCCCCCCAATGGCACAGCGGTATGTCTGCGGACTTTCAACGCTAGAAACCGGGTTTCGATACCCGTGGTGGGCAGAGCACAGATAGCCCATTGTGTAGCTTTGTGCTTAATTTCAAACAAACAAACTATACCGTTCATACTTATATAAAATTATAGCAATAAACAATTAATGACAAAAAATGATAAAATCAATATAAACAAATCACCTGAAAATATCTGAATATTTAATTAAAAGTAAATCGAAATATAATAAAATACATAATAATTGGGCTGGGCGTATCGCAAAGCCTAAGGTTCGAGTGCGTAATATAGAGCTGAATATGTTGCGGATGATATTAACTAGCTGCCTTCTCTCTGTTTAGCAGTTCTAAATTAATGATGGTTGTTTACTCCATGTTTTACTGTTATATATAGCGCTTTTCTAGTTGAAAATACCAAAAATCAGGGGTGAAGTTCTGCCGGTACTCACCGGTACTTATTTTTTTAAGGCGGCAGTAGTACCTGGACTTATTTGAGCAGCTTTGTCATTTTTTTTATGTTTACACGTAGATTTTATTTCTTTTTCAAAAACAGGTCCACTTCACCCGGCTGACTCTCAGTATCCTTTAAATAAAGGAAAACTGAAAGAAACAAACAAAAAGTATTGAAAAAAAAAACATTGTTGTATATTTTTTTTCAGGTGAGTAAATTTGTTTGGTGGCTTAAGAAATAATAAAAAAGTAAGCGTCGAAATATTTGTGAAAGTCCGTTCTAAGTTAAATTAAATGTTATTTATTGAATGTAAGAAGATAATAAGCCATAAAGCAATAGCTCTCTGTTATACAGAATCGACTCATTTATTTTAGTATTCGCAAACAATTAAGAATAAAAGTATTGTTGTTTTCTAGTTGCTCACATTTTCTTAACATATCTGATGAATACACGTGATCACTTTGATATAAAATGCTTATATTTTGATGAACGACATGTGCACCAATATAACTGATCATTTTCTAAACTCCTCTTTAAAACACTCACATTTACAGAACACTCATTTGTTTGCATATACGAAACTGATTGTTTGATGTAGCAAATGATTGCTTTGACTCTATATAGAGCAAAAAATATAAACTCGTCATAGTTAGTTTGTGAAACAAATAGTAAGAGCAAAGTTCTCTCCTGCTTTTAATACGGTGTGAAAGTGGGTGCCTATGTAGTACGAGTATTGTTATAATGGTATTTTCTTTCACCACTTTTCAAATACATCATAATCTACCAGCAGTGGCAATAGAAAACGAGTGCGTTCTTCTTTTTTGGAAAACTTTGGCTATCTAACTGACGGCGACAGACCGAGAGGAACTTCAATCGGACAGGCTTGTGAAAGGCAACAGATGTCAGACTGTGTTCCAATTGATTGATTCCTTCAACAGTGATGAGGAAGGTCATTACAAAATATTTTTTTCCAACAAGGTACTAAAGTTGCTGGTGGTGGTCTAATGAGGTGGGTGAACATTCTCATGGCAGGGATGGTTTCCTTTGATTTCTTTCGAAGGATGAAGCGGGGGGAAAAAAACATTCAACGTGTACCAGAACATTGTCGCCGATTATCTCCAGTCCAATATGTTGAATTTCCATCCTGACAGAAAAGGGATCTTTGATGATGACACTGCAAAAATTCACTACACTCGTGTTGCACAACAATGGTGTGAAGAATAGAACAGTCACTTTATCATCTTCCCTTATCGGCATAACTACTGGGTCTCAGCGATTTGGCTGAACATTTCAGGAAGAACTTACACGTCGCATTCACCACCTTAATCTTCTAATGACTTTTGTCTATTAATTGTAAGTTATACTCCTGGGCGAATAAAATCCAATCCAATATGACACCTTCTACAGACTCTGTGATGCCAATTTCAGGCTATTATTCTGATAAAAAGTGGCTTCTTTCCAAAAACAAATCTCACTTTATACGGATGGCACTGCTTTCTCCCAATTCCTTTTTATCTCAGTATTTGTTTGTTTTCTTAGAATTTTGGCAAAGCTACACAAAGGGTATAGATGTTCTTAATTTTGAACAAGTAGATTACAAGGAAAGCAGCAGGTCAACAACACCCACTGCCAACTTTTGGGTTGCACTTTTCTGACCGAACGCTACAAGAACGACAGTCAAGTCCCACTATACTTACGGCCCTAAAGTGTAGAGCTGGTTTTACGGCAACAGGACTCGAACTATTAGCCCTGTATTCACAGTCCGGTCACGCTAACCTACTAGGTCATGCCCGGCTCTTTAGCTTAGAAATTAACTAGAATGAAATATAATTTTATTTTTAAGGAACTCTTAAATTCAACTCACTTTCTGGTTCTTCTGCTGTTTCTTCAGTGGCCGAAGATTTAGATTCGGTAGCAGCTTCAGAAGAAGGCTTAGCACCTACTACATTTCTGTTTTCTGTAGCAGTACGTACCACGGTACTGCTAGGCCGTCGTCGTGGGTTAAAACGAGGAGTATCTCTGTATGGAACTATTTGAACAAAAAGTGGCCTTGTTTACTCCATAATCTGCTCTAATAAATCTTTAATTCTTTAAGCTTTAATTCAAAACAAACAAGTATTCACGTTTGTCCGTTATGAATGATACACTACAATTGTACAATATAACGTGAACCAACACAACAAATCAACATTCAAATATTCTAATAACCATGATGAATATCAGCTAAATTACTTAAGCACATTTTCAAGTACTTACTGACATCATCCGTCTTGTGGCTTTTGATCAGCTCTGCAAGCTGGAGGTTACCTGCTATCACAGCAACCTGATAGGGGTCTTGATTGGCGTAGTTTAGAGCTTCTTTATCCACACCACGAAAAAGCAACACTCGAGCACATTCTTGTTGATCATTTACTGCGCAGATGTGGAGCGCTGTGTTTCCACTCGCATTCTGACAGTTGAGATCGGCACCGTAAAACAACAACAGTTCCAAGTGCTGAACGCTGCCATGTTTACAAGCCTAATCGGAACCAAATTGGTTGTTTAGATCTCGAATTTATACCTATTTTCATCTGTAAGATTCTTGCTCCAGTAAGAGCTTATAGGGATAGCTAGTAACTGTGCATTAGTTACTATTTTAATAAACTATATGAAATCATAAAACAATATTTCTATTACTCTATTTTAAAGGAAGTCTGGAATGAATGATTGGAAGTTTCGTTCTTCACTCAATGACAAGGTAAACAGTAACGATCAAATACTGTGTAATAATTATCTTCAAACAAAACTAACTATTAATACACAGGCACACACATATATATTTATAAATCCTTGATTCTACAAGATCAAAAACCCTGTTGTGAAGTCACTTTTATCATTCATACGTCTTAAACCATCTTCGTTATGACAGCCGGGTTAACATGCTAAGCTGTGGAATGGAAGGTCCAAGGTTTGAACCGCGATATACCGACAAACATGCTCCATACAATTAGCTGTGGAACGTTATGGCTGTGGCAGACCATTTTGCTATTCGGTTAAGATAGCCGCAAACTAGGTGACTGGTGCTGCTGATTGGTTGTTCTCGTACTGGTCAACAGTTTTAAATTAAGGATGGCTATGCATAAATCTTATGGGTCTCTGACCTGGTATTTAATCGTTTTGTCACATAAGGTATCATTCAGGTTGATAATAAAAAATACCATACAAAATCTTCACTATGAAAGAGGAACCTGGAATGTTTATTTCTACAACTATCTAGATATTCGGTTTCAATTAAGGTCTCATACTTAATAAATAAGTATTTTTGAAATAATATCTTTCAAGCTCAGTATTTTGAATCATCTTTTTATCACCCAGATAAGACGGCTGAATAAAGTATACTGTCGATAAGTTGTTGAAATGTTTTTAGAATTTAAAGGAAAATGTTCTGAGTAATATGATTACTGATTTATCCACTTTTAGCATCTTTTTATGTTACGAATAAAAAATCTAAAACAAACCTGATGAACCTCCTGCCAACCTTGGAGGTCGGCTGTCCCAAGAACTGCGTGTTCATATAGAAGCAACTCGGTCAGTTGGTGGTCACTGCCATATACAACTGAATAATAAAGAGGGGTCAATTTTCGGTTGTCCTTGTAATTAGGAGAAGCTCCCAGATCTAAGAGAGTCTACCATGGAATAAGAATCAAATAAGAAGTTATCCAAATATACTCATTGCTATCTTAAAAAATAGCAATCAAACGTTGTTGAAATTAAATTATTATTTTTTATAGCGTAAACTATTCGGATGATTATTTTTTCTTGTTTTTCGAATGATGGTTAACATAACAAAAAAAAATGTTTTCCTAACAAATGAGAGCTCAGAGCTGGCAATGTTGATTACTGTGAAAGAATGTAAGAGTTTATGACTAAAACAATTTATAAGAGCTTCTAACAGACATGTTACAACCCCTACAATAAAAACAGGCTTATGACTAGCACATCACAGAAAAGCTAAAAAACGTGTTATTAAAAACCTATACAACGACTGTAAAATACATAAAATGAACCACTATATTAAACTATCTTAACACACAGGTGTCAGTCTTCAGAACAACCCTAGAAAAGAAATAAAACCTTGCCATTAGTGCCTCGGTGCTTCAGCGGTAAGATTACAGTCTTACTACGTTCAAATTCTGGGTTCGATCCCTGATTTGGATTGAGCATATATAGCTCATTGTGTAGCTTTGTACTATAGAACAGACAAAGTTTGTTATTAAAGCAGTTCATGAAACGTGTTAAACTTTTTGTACAGGTCTTTCGAATGTTTCGTTTGCTTTTAAATGTGCTTCTTTTTGTTTGTTTGTTTGGTTGGTGTTAGACACAAAACTACACAATGGGTTATCTGTGCTGTGCCTACCACAGGTATCAAAACCCGTTTTTTTTTAACGTTATAAGTCTTCATCTTCACCACTGAGTCACTAGAGGGCAGCAGTTTGAAAAAAAAAAGAAGCTAATTTCCAGTTTACAGAGATTTCAACTAACCAATAGGCATAACATATAATTATTTCTTATTAGAAAACAGAAGACAAATTAATAATTACTTATAAAAAAATTCTACATATTAACCTTCAACTATATCATAAACCAAACCCCGGAAATCAACAGTTATAAATTCTAGACTCAGTTTTAAATTATATAAGTACAGTTTATCTTCCTGATGACTCGCGAATCAACTTACTTTAAGTGCCTCGATATTATTTGCTTCCACTGCACGATGTAAAGCGCTCCGTCCATCTGGAGTTGTAAAGTCCAATCGCGCTCCTCCGTTGATTAATGCCATGATCACGTGACGAGGGTGGCGAAGTGTGGTCGACAGCGTGAGGGGAGTTTCTGGATGAATGTAAATCAAACCACAATATTAGTGTTAAAATAAAGTTTAATGATATTTTATAAATAATCAAACCCATTTCTTGAATGATTGTTTAAACTGGTGTGTGAAAAACTAGGTGGCTACCTTTCTCAACTTATCAGTTGTGTTAACTGAATGACAACATCCTCATTTTGCAGTATTAGCATTGCTTAAAAGACTTCCGCAAAACTAAAGTAGATACACTTTACACACAGGACTTTGAAAGTTTGGCTATAAGTAAATATAAATCTAAAGGTCACTAAGTCATAGACTCACGAAACCTATTTTGCTTTTAAACCTTACTGAAACCGATTCAACATCCCATTATTTTACAGAACAAAAATGCAATTAATATCAAACGCTGGTAACAAAAAAATTATTTTGATATAAATCCTAGCTTCTCAGCATTTTATCATGGAAGCTCATTGCTGCGAAAAACATGAGAATCTTTAAAAGCCTGCTCTTTATTTGAAGAACTACTTTAAAAGATTAAATATTTCTCGAACCTTCTCCCAGGATATAAAAAATACATTTTATTTATTACCAAGCAGCTGATTCTCGAGTTTTAAGCTGTTAGTATCTCCTTCAAGAACATTTTGTACGCATGTTGTTGTTATAGTTTCAGATTCCCTACTGATCTTGTATCTGGTTGAACGACCCAGAGACATTAATTTTCTAGAACTCTTTATCGTTATGACACAACTAGACAAGTCGATCATTAGCTCAGTGACACATTTCTGTGTCGATAAACCAAGCTTTCCCAATAATACAGAACGTGATGAACCTTGACTTAGGTAAGTGCAATTCTCCCTTTTATTTAAAATTTTTATTCTGAAGAAATACGAATAACAATGTTGCGATGAAAGGAATATAATGTTAACAATACTTACAGAATAAGTATTTAACTTTCTTAACAGTTCAATTCTATGGGAAAGGTAGACAAGTTAATACACTTGTTTAGTGTGAAATCACTTCGAAGAATTACCAGGTTAAAAGCAATGATTTTCTTCTATCTACGCTGTGTTAAAAAAGACAATTTCGAATAGCTATTTCGCCAAAACACAATTAAGATATAACAGTGGGCTCTTTTTTTTGTTTATTGCCCCCCCCCATTTAAAATGGCCTAGTGACCCCCCCTGGATGTGTTTGTGAATTGACATTTCTAACAAGTCAAAATTTAAGGTGATGCTTATGTGTCCATACTTGTGTCCATCGTACATTTTTCAAGTTGAATTTGTATAATCTCTATAACTTCCAAAATGCATAGCTACAATTTTTGTTTTCAATGTTCCTGTATGTCGCACCTGGTAGTTACCCTCCTCTACCACGAACTGTCACCATCAGTGATGAAGAGTAAAATGAATAGTTGATAACTCTGACATCACATACTTAATACCATGTTGAATTGTACTCTGTAAAAGGTTGTGACATGCGCACTTTGAACCTCACCCGTGTACATATGGTAAAGGAAGGTTTACCTTCCGGAAACTCCTTGTTATCGAGATTATTGTTTGGTGAGTTATCTATCCCCCCCCCCACGTGATGTTTTAGTATAGTGAATTCAGTGGGTTGATGAATTTATACTAAAACGATTTTGCATATACAAATCAACCACTCACATGGCTACTGCAGCCAATATAAAGTTGCGGTTGAAGAAATGTATCAACACTACACTTTGACATTGTTTAGCCTTTAATGGGTAGATTGGTGCTACCGAAAATTGATCACTTTTGGAAAGGGTATTTAACAGCCCTTCCCGACTCAAGATATTCATAAACCCAGTTTATAAAGGTGTGTTCAAAGCGAGGATTTAGAATTTCGAATACGAAGATACCTCTTGTAGTTAATGGCATTGGAAAATATATATATGAATCAACTTTTGACAACAGAACCAACCACAAAGAAACCCGAAACAAGTTTTACATCAACATGATAAGCAATGTGTGGCGTTTTGTAACAGTTGGAAAAACACAAACACAAAGGACAGTGAAAAAAGCCATCCACGCGCCCCAGGCAACATAATAAAGAGGATTTCTGTCTGGAAAATCGACACAACTCACATGTACAAAAGTTGCTTTCACGACATACCTGTCCAACCGTCGCATAACTCAAACAGCTGGAGAATGGAACTTGCTATTCCATAAGAAGATATACCTACGGATTTCTGTGCGATCAGACTGTTGAAATAGTTGCTTGGAAACCACTATCCTCTTACACTAAATGGATTAAGAAAAGCATGCAGAGAGGTGGAGTAAGTTTTAGACATGACAACCTTACGACAGAGCATTTTGCAATGGAAACTACACTGCAGATTTATTGTCAATATATACGATCGATCGTACGATAAAGCATGACCGGACGTGGAGACGTGGACTCTATAGATGTGGTGAGACTTCAAAATCTTTCAACATAATGCACCCAACTCCTGTATCTATACCGCTTATACGCCAAACTACAGTATATACTACACAATAATTCATATGACATATTCACAAATATAATATACAGAAGATCGTTGTCGGTGCGGGAAAATGTCTCAGCAACAAAATATCGCTGTCTAGTGATATTCTGCCACTCTAAATTTCTTCTGCTGTCATGCTTTTCCGCTGCGATACTTTTTTCACAATACGAGTTCACTGTCGTAAAATGCCGCATTTTTTCGTGCTCTACCAGGCACGTTACTGAAGTGTGCTTTCGTACCACACACGAGTTTTATGCTAGCTCCAACCAATCGGGTGCATGAATCTTTTATTAAGTCATACAGCTCATTGAACTGTTTCTTAGAGAATCGAAATACCTCTTGAACCGTTTATGGTCAAGTTCACGTTCTTTCACCAGTCTGTTGTATTTAGTCTGGCATGGCCTGTTTGCAATCTGCGGGTTGCAGTATCAAAACCAGTCGACGAGCATGTTCACTCTTTCAGCCTTAGGAGCGTTATAATGTAACGGCCAATTCACTATTTGTTGGTAAAGAGTAACAGAAGAGTTGCCAGTAAGCAGTGTTGACTATTTGTCTTCCCTCTATCGCTTCCAAATTAGGGAAGGCTAGCTCAGATAGCTCTCGAGTAACTTTGCACAAACTTCAAAACAAACTGTAGTATTCCCCAAGTTCTTCTCTTTTCATCAGGGTCTCATGGACCCATAATCTGCGTTTTTTTCTGTCCAAGGCAAGAATCAGAAGGAGACCCCCTCGTTAAATTCTCCCTTTTCTGCCTCATCTTCATTGGAATTCCGGTTCACCATTCTTGGCCAGTTTGTCTATATTAGTAGGGTCATGACTTGTTTTGGAAACCGCCGACACGTGCGCAGTTCGCGTGGGTCCACCAGTTCCGCGGTATCTCGCCGCACTGTTCCCAGCTTTAGGTTGCTGGTCGCTCGTGTATTCAACAAGCTAAACACTAATATACATGCGTGTATATCGAGCAAAGATATTCTAGCACAAGAAGCAGGAAAATACAATACCTTATAAGGTAATACCATTCTATCTTTCCAGAATAAATAAACAATACAAAATGAAATAAACAGCAAAACATACACATGTGCACTTATTAGTTTAAATCCTCCCAATTTTTAGCAATGTTTCAAACCAATTAGTGTTTCATTCTTTCAGGAACAATATGTGTGTGTTTGAATTGTAAACTATAAGAATAAGGAATTTCAATAAGACTTGTAGCCTTGATAATGAAAGAACTGCGAACGCAGAAATGTTAATCAAGTTTTCTTTAAAAAAGAAACATTTGTATTCGAAACTGTAATAACTCTGATATCTCAGGAAGTTGTTCAAAGAAGTAATTACTCTGACATCGTACAGAGCTCTCGGGAAACTACCCAAGGTACTAATAACCCCAACTTCGAATTAAAAAGATCTCTAGAATGTTTTGAGGTAGATAAATACTTCTCACATAACAGTTATCAATCTCATTTTATCATTTTTAAGAGCACAAGTAATGAAGAGTAAATGATGTATGTCAGAAGAGATTGAGTGTTTCCCCCCTCAACTCTGGGAATGCCATTACAATTGAACGTTTTAAGTTGCAGGGTGTCGTCCCAATCTCTCACACGATGTTTTAAGAAGGAAGAGTCACCTTTGCAGTGACTTTGTATATTGCTTTCTGTCTGTATTATGACACTTCAAGCTTTTTTTTTTGTTCTGTTGTGAAAGTTGGTTCGGTGATGCAAGCTAATTTTCCAGTTTATATTCTATGTAACGATACTTCTAATACAGTTTCATTAGTTTTTCATTCCATCTTAACTTCACTGCATACCATAAGAGATAGTATTGGGACACTAAAGAACAACAAAGAACTTATCATAACAATAGTATTCGGACAATTAAAAACAAACAAACAAAGAATTTATCATAGCAATAATATCCGAACATTAAAAAAATAATAATAAATAAATACTATAACAATACTATTCGGACTCTCGAAAGGAAACAACAGCAAAAAATCTGCCATAAGGGAAAGTATCGGGGACTTGGAACAAAGGATTTTCTAAAACTATTAATAATAATTAATAGCCTTAAAACATTTCTTCGAGCATGAGCTGTCAAAATTAGTTAGCTAATTAATTTACAGCAATATTCTTGGCATGTTTGAACACTGATTAATGTCTATAAGAATGTTCAATGTGATTTAGTACACACATATATACGAGTCGGAAATAACAGCATATTAGCTATAACTGCAGTTTGACTTGAAAAACCAGTAGAGTTTATAATGCACCGAATTTGTTATTATATATTTATTTGAATATCAACGTTTGTTTAGAATAAGTTTATATATTAAAACATGCGTAGCTTATAGTGTTAAATATGTATTGCGAAACTCCCGCCTATTCTCCCAAGTTGTAGAAGATTCTCGACAGTTAAGAATCAACAATATATGTGTGTACGTAAACGTTTTAACTTGCATTGTTTAGTAATCTGAATTTTCTAGAAAATCTTTTCACGGCTATAAATATAACCAACGCGACGTGCCAAAAAGAGTATCTATTATTAGTTCGCTATAATCAGTGTGCTATAAACTTCAGAAGCTCTAACTGTGATTGTTATAACGCTTATCAATCGGAAAACTTAAAATATTTGACCAGAAATATTTGTAATTTTCGAACATTACAAACCATTCAACTTCAGTGGATTCACATCTGACATTACTAGTTTTTACGAAGACATTATATAAGTTCAACGGTGGAAAACTCAGCGTGTGTGGGAAAGGACAAAGCTAGCTAGCTTCCCGTTAAGTGAAATATATCTCCGTCAACTCGTAATCAACTCGCTCATCGTGAACCCGCGATAAGATATCAAGGAAGGTTC